ATCTCAAAATTTCTCTCACTTCTGTAATGCCCTTTATGTTTTACTAGAATATCTACATAAAGATCTATTCCGGTTAAGTAAAGGCCTATATCCCAATGATTCGGATTATCATCGTTCGTAGGATTGAGAAAATTTGCATATTTGCAAAACGAATCGAGCAGTTGGCCAGCTTCGCCGTCGGAAACTGGCAATTTTGACAGCTGTTCTGTCGGCATCTTCAAACGTATTAAGGTAATATTCATAAAGATATCCAAACTGGGATGATTAAAGGCAGCCTGGATGCGATTCACGTACGCTAATATAATATTGTGCAACTTATCCTCATCATTGTCCAAAATAGACATGAACGTATTATATGCTGCTTCATCGACGAAAACGGCAAGTTCCATGGTTAAATTTTGTTGCACATTGCGTACGTGACGTCGCTTCAGTTTAAACATGTCCCAGCGGTAAAGACTTGAACCAGCAAAATATTCCATTGATTTTTTAATAACATGAGGTTTGCCAAGTGAAAGATTAGATTGTCCTCTAAAATCGTAGATTAAACACATAGGCGTGAAATCGTTCTGCAAAGGCTGTATCTCTAACGTGTTGTTTTCCACAAAAACAAATCCTTCCTGCTTTTAAAAAGATATATTTATTCTTTATGTGTCATTGTATATAAAACGAAAAATAATAAAGGTCACAAGTAAACACATAAAAATTTTAAAACTGTTTGTTTTTCATGTAATATTACTGACCAATCCATGTTCATGACAAAAGTTGATAACCGCAGAGCTGATATGATCTTCATGATAATAAAAGCAATGACTTGATACGTTTAATTCAAACAATTTCTCTGTCACACCTTTCGCATTATATTTCCATTCTTTGAACGCAGGCGATACAATTCTAGCACTTTTACGCAGATTTAGTTGAATCAATCGTCCGAAAACTTTCAATGTTATTGGTATCTGTAAATTGTATGACAATTTAAAGAAAAAACTTGATAATTCTTGATTAACGATGGTTAATTAACAAATATAATAATACTGTAAAACGCACGTACCTCTTTTGCGCCTGTCGGGTTTGATGCCGGCAGTAATATTGTTTCCATATCTCGCGTGCAATGTGCGTAAATTTCAATTAGTAAAATTATTATCACAAATTTTAATATAAAAAACATGTTATTTTATAAATTTTTTAATTTTAGCAATTAATAATATAATTTATATATACGCATTAGCACTGTCGTGTTCGTTATATCTGATATGATCGCGAATGAATCACGAACTGGCGTATGAAAAATTTCTTTTGTGTCAAGTGACATCTACAGCACATTCTCTCTTTGTATATGTACAAATATTTATGTGTTTAAAATCTAAAGTTTTGAAGTGGTATTTACGATAACGGTATGGGATATAGGTTTATAAAATGTATTTTATTATTAATATGGATAATATGTAACATTGATCGGAAAAGTAAAAGTTTAATTTTCAATAATTTAATTTCAAAATGTTGATAATTAATGTTGGTATAGAAAATTGTCGTTTATGCATATTCATAATGTTTTGTAAGTTACGTTATAATTCAGGGTCAATGAAAATCGAACGAAGAGAAGAAACAATTAAATAAAATTATACATATTGCGACAAACATTGTTAAGAATTAATATTTTTATACATTTATTCTGTCTAATAAAATTTGTTGGTAAGAATATTAAGAGTTAAAAAATATTTATTAAGTAATATTGAGTTAATAAATATATCTAAATCAATCACTTGTAACATCATTCTAACGTAATGTAAATTTAACAATGTGTACACGCTCATAAGTGCAATAAGGGATTCTTTATTAGCAATGAATAATTTGAAAAATATCTAATCATGTGATACGTAATTCAATATAATATCTATAAATATAAAAAATCCAATATTTTGTATAAGTAATATATATATTTCAATAGTTCGTTATAAAATTCATGAGGTTTGAACATTAAGTAATCGATGTTCTTATGGGAGAACAACCTGCTTATTAATTCGATAACGCTACTTCTAATGTGTTTGGTTGCATTGGCTGTAACTGTAACGGTGCATTTGATGAGGAATAAAACACAGGTATCAATGACAAATATAGATTCAGACGCTGAATTAATTCGGAGCACTGATTTAAAATTATATTTTTTTTTCATAAATATGTCAATTTATAACTATTAATTTGTTTTCCTTCTGCAATCATAACAACGTAATAAAAAAATTTATTTTTATTGTCGATAATTCTACGTATTCTTTTATAAATTTGTTTTTTATAACAAAAAAATAATTTATTACGTAAAATAAAAAGTAACATCGTTTGTTCAACGGGCTCTAGGATTGAAGCTTAATAAATTGTAAATGATTTCAAATTGATTTATGCGTGTTTGCAATTTTATTTTTTTTTAAATCATACTCCACACTTATCAAGAAACTTTCGACAATTATTTTTGGATTGAGTAGCTTTCCGGCAGACAGTAATGTTGGCGGCAATAATAATTTTGGCCATCTTTGTAGTGACACCGTGTCCCATCTGGAAAGTATGGGTTGACATTTAATTCCAGCATTTCCATGCGTGGTGTGTAAAAATAAAATATACTATATTTAGCAGATATTTTTTCTTCTCGTTGACAGTATATGGTGCAGACTATCCACGGTCTCGCAACATCATGAATGACGTTCTTTCCTGGCCCATTTTCTGGATCATAGTTGAAATATTCTCCGCCTCTTTTTTTCACTTTTAAGTTGTATTCAGTGCATTTTATGGAAGTATATTCGGAAATCCTTTTGCATTTTTCATTGCAAAATCTGGAGTTTTTGCAAACAACCACGTCGTAATATGGCCCGTTACAACTAGCCGTTTTGTAAGTATCATGTTTGCAAAAACGTCGTTTGATTATTATGCCTTTGGATTTCGTAAAGCAATTGCTTTTACAAGAGTCTTCTTTCCATTCACTCCATTTATCGTCTTCATAATACGGAAAAATGTATGGTGGTTTGATAACGGCCATGCATTCTTTGCCGCAACATTCTTTCCCGAGTGCACAACTAGTTCCTGAAAAAAATTTAATTCCAAATTTTTAATTAAACTACCTAATTAAAAAAAAGACATACTATCCAATGCAGGTCTCGCGAAGAAACTGTTATTTTTGTGAGGCGTTTCGCATTGTTAGACTTGACACATATCGTGCAACGTAACTACGTTTGCATTTTTGTCGCGTAAAAATAATTTATATTGTGCTTTGGCAATCCATTCCCTTCCCGGCAATTCGTGATAACGTAAATGGTTTAATCTATCTTTGAAATATTCTTGTCTTGTGTGATCGAGAAGATACGGTTTTCTTTTCCTGAGATTCTTCGCAATGTTACGACTACATTCGGACCATGTTACTTGTCTCCGCGGATATAGCCAATCTGTCACTATGTATTTGCCATTCGCACACGTCGAGTTGATGAAGTCATTATCGTGTTTTATTTTTAATCTTTTGAACAAATGAGTTGCTTATTTTGGAAAGATGCTTTATGAACAATATTTTTAAATACTTTGTAGTTACTAAAAGTTTTACAAAACTAAATCTCTTAAAAACTCTAAATAGGTTTATCTTTCAATTGCACAAATATAAAAATTCTTCTAATAAATATTATATACTTAATTTGTATAAAAAAGTATATGTGGCGGCTCACCGCCACACAGCTGTACTGAAGCGGCATAATACGCCGCGGCGCCGCTACGCGCCGCAGGCCTTCTACCAGTTATAAGCTTGCGGACCCACCGCCAGGTGGCGCAGGCGGTGAAAAGCTTTCTCGCGATCATTGAAATATATACCATACTGGAACGAGCACGCCTTTGTTCTCGACCGGTCAGATGGAGATAGCTGTTCGGACCCGGATCTCTCTATCCAACCAACAGTTTTGGTCACGTGTTCACAGCTACTATTAGTCGAGAGTAGACGAGATAGAAAGAGAAATCCGGTACCGAGTCACTGCCTTGTCTGACCGTTTTGTCGAATGGAGGGGGTAGCCTGTGCTCGTTCCAGTATGGTATATAGTTCAATGCTCGCGATCAAGCTTCGATCGACGAGATATAAAAGAGCTGCTCCGCAAATCTTTACTCTCTCACTCGCTTCAAGGCGAGCTCTCACAAAGGGCCCTTGAACGGAGTCACAGCTCTGCTTCGAAGAGCGCAACCAGCAAGTCTTCTCGACTTTTCACAGTGCCTGGGAAGGCACGGAAGCGAGAGACTCAGCCTCAGCTCTGGCCGCACACCTCACGTAGGATGTACAGCTACGGTCAGCTGACGCACCAGCGTCGCCGTCGCCACCACAGACTCTACAGCGGAAAATAATTCCCTTAGAGTTCTGTGCCCGGTTGACTCGGCCCCCACGTGACACTCACGTTCCGGGGACATCCGAATGCGAAGGCCTCTCCCGCCTCGGCTCGCAGACTCACTTGCGACTCACATCGAGAGCCGGACGGTCGCAGCGCATGGCACAACGGAGACATACTCCACCGCAACGCAAACCTCGCCGCCGGGATGCAACACGCACCCTCGCATGAATCGTCCTGTTAAGGACCCGATTCCAACCACGCAGACGCGGCCGGTAATATCTTACCGCGCCCGTCACCTTTCATTCGAAACTCGCGGCCTTACACTCTGCCGCGAATGCGCCGCCGGCGCACTCAAGTTACACACACACCTGTACATACATACTTCTCTCTGACAAAGAAATAAACACATTTCTACACAATTGACTCTATCTCACTTCTCACCAGTCGAACACAATTCCTTAGGCTTAACGCCTATAGTATATATAAACTTACAGATGGCCGATCTCATAAACAGCATCAACAGATGATTTGATTCTTGATGAATCACGTAATTCTACTATAGCGCAAGAGAAAAGCGGATCGCATGTGCCATCATGATAGGATTTTTCGTAATATTATAATTCCTCTCCATCTCGTAATAATTTTCAAATTTTACTACAATTTTTTTACAAAGTTTTACTCCGGTTAAGTAAAGAGCAATATCACAGTGACGCGGATTATTATTGTCCGGAAAATTAAGAGAATTCGCGTATGTGCAGAACAAATCGAGCCGTTCGTCAGCGTCGTCGTCAAAAAACTGTCAAATTTAGCATGTGTTCTTTAAGCATATTCAAACGTATTAACGTAATATTGATAAAAACTTTCAAACTCGAACGATTAAAGGCAGCTTGAATACGATCCACATAGTCTAACATCATATTGTATAGCTTATCCACATCATTGTCTAGAATAGGCATGTACATATCATATGCTGCTTCGTCGACGAAAACGGCTAGTTCTATAGTTAAATTTTTTTGCGTTATATTATTATTGATGTTTTCCTTTTTAGAGGTTTCCTTTTCAAGGATCATCGTTTTTGCTTGATTTCTAGGACATATTTTTTTCCAGAGGATTTTTATTTTGTTACGACTATTCTCCGACCATGTTATGTTTCTTTCCAAATCGCTATAACTTCGCTTTTGTGTTAACCCTAAACTGTTGAACAAATAAATTATTAATTTTAATTATATACATTACTTTGCAGTGTTTAATTAAAATATTTTTAATATTTTATAATTCATTAATAATTTACATAATAAACAATTAAAGAACAACATTTTTTAAAAGTGACTGTTTTTTTGTTGATTTTATTGTACAATTGTAAACTTACAGATTGCCGATATTATAAACAGCATCAACAGATGATGTGATCTCCGATGGATTACAGAATTTTACTATTGCGCAAAAAAAAACGCGTAGGACATGCGCCATCGTGATAGGATTTTCCTGTAATATTATAATTCCTCACTATTTCGAAATGATATTCATATCGTACTATAGTATTTTTACAATGATTTATTTCGGTTAAGTAAAGGGCAATATTCTAATCTTACGGATCATTATCGTCTGAAGAATTTAGAGAATTCGCGTATGCACAGAACGAAGGGAGCAGTTGGCCAGCGTTGCCGTCAGAAACTGGCAAATTTGACGGCTGTTCTCTGAGCATAATGAAACGTATCAACGTAATATTTATAAAAACATCCAAACTCGGATGATTAAAAGCAGCCTGGATACGATCCACATAGTCTAATATCATATTCTGTAATTTATTGTCATTGTGCTTTACAATCAACATGGACGTATAATATGCTGCTTCGTCGACGAAAACGGCAAGTTCCACGGTTAAATTTTGTTTCGCATTGCGTACGTGACGTCGCTTCTGTTTAAACATGTGCCAATGGTAAAGATTTAAATTAACAAAATATTCTAGTGATCTTGTAATAAGATGAGGTCTGCCAAAAAAAAGATTAGTTTCTTCTCTAAAATCGTCGATTAAGCACATAGACGTGAACTCGTTCCAAGGCCGAATCTCTAACGTGTCGTTTTCCACAAAAATATATCCTTCCTACTTTTAAAAAACATGTATTTGTTTTTTACGTGTCACACTTGTATTTAAAATGAAAAATATTACAGTATTCAAGTAAAAACATAAAAATTTTGAAACTGTCTGTTTTTCGTATAATATTACTGACCAATCCATGTTCATAACAAAAGTTGATGGTTAGGTTATGACTTGATATGTTTAATTCCAACAATTTCTGTGTAACGTTTTTCGCATTATATTTTTATCCTTTGAACGCAGGCGATACATTTCTATCACTTTTACGCAGATTCGGTTGTATCAATCGTCCGAAAACTTTTAGTGTTTTTGGTATCTGTAATTTGAATGACAATTAAAAAAAATTTGGTAATTCTCAAATAATGACGGTCGAGTAACAAATAAAATAATACCGTAAAACGCATGTTTTACGTAAAACAACTGCTTTATTCTTGTCGGGTTCGATGCCGGCAGTAATATTGTTTCCATATTTCGCGTGAGATGTGCGTAAATTTCAATTAGTAAGATTATTATCACAAATTTCGATATATAGGACATATTATATTTTAAGTTTTTCAATTTTAAACAATTAATTAAATAAATTATATACACGCATTAGCATTTTCGCGTTCGTTATATCTAATATGATTGCAAATGTAATCCGAACTGACGCATGAGGAATATCATTCGTGTGGTGTGACATCTATTAAACATTCTTTGTTTGCTACATGCATATGTATAAATATTAATGTTTCTAAAACCAAAAGTATAGAAGTGGTATTTACGATATCGGTTCAAGATTTAGGTTTATAACATGTAATTTATCAGTAATATGTATAATATGTAACATTGATCGGAAACGTAAAAGTTTAATTTTTAATAATTTGATTTCAAAATGTTGATAATTAATGTTGGTATATAAAATTGTCGTTTATGCGTATTCGTAATGTCTTGTAAGTTACGTTAAAATTCAGGGTCAATGGAAATCAAACGAAGAGAAGAAACAAATTAATAAAATTATACATATTGCGACAGACATTGTTAAGAATTAATATTTTTATACATTTGTTCTGTTTAATAAAATTTGTTGGTAAAAATTATTAAGAGTTGAAAAATATTTGTTTAGTAGTAATATTGAGTTAATAAATATATCGAAATCTATCATATGTAACATCATTTTTACGTAGTGCAAATCTAGCAATGTGACACGCTTATAAGTGCAATAAAGGATTTTTTATTAACAATGAATGATTTGAGAAATATCCAATCATGTGATACGTAGTTCAATACAATTATAAATAAACAAATATAAAGATAGAGAAAGCAACACTTAGTTTAAGTAATATATATTTGAGTAGTACATTATAAATTTTACGAGATTTGAAGTTTACTTAATTGATCTTCTTATGGAAGAAGAACCTACTAATTAATTCGATAATTACTTCTAATGCAATGGCTGTAGCTGTAATAGCGCGTCCGACGAAGAAATAAAGCGGGTACCAATGACGAAAATCGATTCAGATACTCAATTAATTCTGAGCACTGATTTATCATCATATTTTTTTCGAATTTTTATTAACTAATTGTTACGTCCTGATCAGACTTCACGATTCTTTTCTTTTTATTAAATACCAGACCTAGTAAACACGGGACCAACAAAAAACTTTTAAAGAATATTATAACGCCAGAGCTGTTTTTCTCACGAGACACCATGAGCTCGAACTTTCTCACAGAGAAAAATAGCAAGGGGGATAGATATTTGAAAATACCTTGGTCGGTCAGCGTGCCTATCGTCGTCAGAAAAATCATAAAAGTCAAAACTTGCGGTAACCGGAGTCTTTAGTCGACTCCAGATGTTTAAAGTAGGAAATAAAAACTGGCACTAGCTAGCCATATACTTGGATTCTGCCTACGGGAACCCTAATAGATAGGATTTTACC